ATGAATCTCAAGAGACCCGTTCCGAATTGAAGGGTGACCATGTTTGTAGTCACCGTTTTCGCACCTTCTCCTTCTTTAGGACTCCTACATCATAAAGAGCTTGTAGCTTATCCTTAGGATATAACATTTGGAGGAATGGTGATCGATAAATCTGTGGTGCACACAGTAGCTTGGGTCATCGGTCTTATTCACGTCTTTAGCTTTCATGACTTCTGGAAGCTTGATCCTATTGCTCTTGAGAAGTGTCTTGAAGGTAGCTACCACCTAATCTTCTGTGAAGTCGTATTGTATTTGCGGGTGTTGCTTGAAGGGCTTAGGCTTTTGCCTCTGTGCCGGTTTAGGGGATGGAGTGGAATCGACAACCATGATCTCCTTCCCTCTTGACCGAGGGTTCCTAGAGGTGTTCGGTTTCGAAGCTCTGCTTTTGGGCTGAGGTCTTCGGCTTCCAGTCTTTTGATCATGTTCTTTACTTGCTCACCTTGGCGAACAAGTTCCTTCCATGTTCGGGTTTCCACCGTGCCGATTCTGGATAGAATGTCGATCGAGAGGTTGTTGCAGCACATCTCAACCAGGGTACTCAAGGAGACTTAGTCTCAACACTAAAGCAACCGATTCTTGAATCTCTTAACAAAATTGCTGACCAACTCTATCTTTTTCTACTTGTCGGTAAGCAGGGTGGCCATCAATACTTCTATATCATCATCAAAGAAACAAGCTAAGAAAAATCTTTTCACATCGGCCCATGACTTGATGGAGCTTGGTTCTAACTTGCGAAACCATTCAAAGGCTACCCCCTTTAGGGTGCCGATGAATAGTCGGGTGAGGATGACGTCATTTCCCATGAGAAATCCTGTCTGAGACATGAAATAGTAGATATGCTACGAGGGAGATCCATTGCCATCAAATTGGACTAGGCTCATCGGCTTGAACTTTGTCGGGTAGGGGACCATATCCTATTCGGGTGGATACGGTCTTGTTCGCGGGGAAAATCGTTTTCTTCATTGATGTCATTGTGATCTCAAAATAACAACTTTTTGTGGTTACAAAAGATCCGGTCTTTTTTAGATCTGGTTACAACGAAATCAAAGAAAGAAAAAAAATTAAAAGATTACAACTTTCTCCTTGTGAACAAATCGCGAGCTCCTGTTTTGCGGTCGCTCGCTTTTGTGGGTTCTTAGCCAACGCCGAGGTTAATCCGTGGACCACCGCGCGATCTAGATCCGGTCGGATCTATACGATTTGACGGGTATTATTCCACGAAGGGAATAATAGCCGGGAGGGATTAGTTCACTAAGGAAATAATCGCTCGGATCTCGGGATCTAAGACCAAGCTTAGATCCGGAGTGTGATCTCGTGTAGATCTCAGATCTGTTCTTCCCCTGTCTCAAACTCCTGCCTTTTGTGACGTGGATGCTCGCCGAGGATCAGATCTGGATGTCCAAGTCTTCAAGTCTTCAAAACTCTAAGCTCGATCTTCAATCTGAAAGAGTTTCGGCTCTCAAAAGTCCAACCTTTGAAAATGAACAAAAGGGGGCCTATTTATAGGCTACCCTCACTGTGCCTTGGGCACAGTGCAGCCGGCCACCTTGAGGTGGCTCGGCTCTGGGCCGGCCACCGATTTGGAATTCTGGATCCCGATTTGGCAGTAAATCGGCTTCGGTGTTTGAATTCGAACCCGTTCCGTAGTTGTATGACTTGTTGACTCATCGAACCGTTGGCTTGATTCCGCACGCGAATGGATGCATTCCGTTGCTCGCGTGCGATTCGTTGACCTTGTCGCCTCGTCACTCGATGGTTTGTCGAATCATCGCGCCGAGCTATGCCAAGGGACTTTTAAGCAATTTTACATGCCTACAGATACCCCCTCCAAAGTATTTCAGCCTCGTTCTTTTATAGAAGAGTTTGGAATACTTTGGATATGATTGTCCCAACCTTCAGTCGGTGTAACGGGACCTTGGAATTGCTTCTGTTCTTGATTCCTTTAATCCTTCAGGCTATTCGGTGCTTTGTCGAATATCTGAAAGGGTTTCGGTGCTGCATTTATTGTCTGACCGTTGTCGGAATTTCGAATTTGAAGTCGTTTCCTAATTTTCTGATCTTTAGCTCGTGCTCGTTGGTTCAACATAGCATTGACCATCGATTATTGGCGTTGCGACGCGTTGTCCGGCGTCGTGTTGTTGAGTTATCCTTAAGAATATTTATGAAAACATTCTCCAGGAACTTCTCAACGAAAACTAGGGAACAGTTTATACTCATATATCTTATTGGAGTATTTTCTGTGCCCAAATGAACTGAACCGGTCTGACAATGACCCAAAAAAGGCAGTAATTAGGCTCAAAAAATCCTCCCAGACTCTTCCGTGTGTGGGAGAGGAAAGATTCTTCCGATCATATGGGAGAGGAGTGAATAAATGATGGGCTTAATCGTCGGTCGATTTGAAATCGTTTCGACACTCGGTTCAGCTTCAATTTAGATTTCGGTTCAAAACCGGTCCGGTCCGGTTCGGTTCGGTCTGGCTCAAGGCCAGTTCACCCTATAAAAGGGTTCTCTTTTTTTTTTCTTTTCTTTTACCTTGGGCCGGCCATCTCTCTAGCCTCTTTTTTGGATTTCTCTTCCCTCGAGCATCCGTTCTCCCTCAAAACCTGATATTCATCTTAGATTTAGTCTTCCTTTTGATCTTTGACTGAGAAACCCCTCAAAACTTCCATTTTTAGAATTTCTCTCAGGCCCCTCGAGCGCGTGGTTCGAGCACTTTTTAAGATCTAATTTTTATTGGATCTTAGAGCTTTCCCTCAGGTATATCTTCCATAATTTTAGCATTTTTTATGCTTAATTTAATTTATGAACTTGTGGGATTGCATGCAAGGGTTAGGATTATGATTTGGCGCCTCGAGCTTATCTTTCAGGGGGTAGAATTGCAATAAAAAAAGAGGATTTTTTTCTAGATCTGACCTCTTGATTTATTTTGCAGGTCATTATGTCGCGAGTCTCGAGAGGTCGTTCCCCTGCTGCATCGGCTGACGGCGTGCTTCCTTCATATGCTGGTGAGCTACTTTTTGCATATTCGAAATTTTACAAATTAGCCCTCTTTTTTCTGAAAATATGGGAAATTTTACAAATTAGCCCTCTTTTTCTGAAAATTTGCAAATTGGTCCTTTTAACCCCATGTTGTTCTCCTTGGTGAGGCAATCGGGAAGAGCCTTGATTCTCCTTGGTGAGGATCGACGCTTTAAAGATGGGTTTTGCTTGGTCAAAATCATATCTCATAATAAAGGGGGCGTTTTGACGCTGCATTATGCTTTATAAGGTAGGGATATATTGTCGATATACCCTGTCTTATAAATGCACAATGTGACCAAATCGTCTCACCCTTTATAAGGTAATGACTCTATCTTACCGGTTTGTAAGATGAGTTCAACTTCCTTTTATAACTGAGACTAACAAACACTTAATTGCTTGTTTTCAGTGGAATATCCCTCTAGAGCGTTCTCATCTCATGCTGTGGACGGACGTCATGACGAGTATTATTCGACGTCCGATGATCTTTCGCCTATTCCGCTTACTTTTCAGTTTGGTCCGGGCACGTCGACAGAGGTTGCCCAGGTGGTGAAGGAAGGGGGACATCGAGCCCTTCGCTAGTTGATTACAGATGCGCCTCTTGTGAAGGATGCCAGTTCTGTTCAGTCTCTCAGGAAGACTGATTTCTTGTTTGGCGATTATGTCAGAGACCCTGATGCAGCGTTTATTGAAGTCGAGCAGTGGCTTCATAAGACTGGCAGTAGTTTCCTGTATTTGCCGAAGATTCCTCGACATCGTTCTTTGACTGAGCTCAGGCGTCAGGCTGTGAAACGGGAGATGTCGTGGTGTTTCACAGAGGAGCATGAGAGCGTTCACTACGACTACATTACTCATCAGGCAGTTCCTAGTTCGAGCAGGAATCACATTGTTGGACTGCGTCCTGGAGTACTGAGGCTAGATGCACCGCCCCGTAACGAGTTCCTTGCCTCTGCTTCCACTTTGAGGAATCGCCTCGCTAACTTAGGACGGGAGATGCCTGCACCGCGCCACAGATTCTATGGTTGGGTCCATTCTTTGGACAAGTTTTGGTGGGATCGTATGACAAAGTACGTCTTGAGCAGATGGAGCGAGGAGTTGCACGCTTGCGGTCTTTATGCAGCCATTCGTGCCACCATGCATGGTTTACCTGTTAGTGCGAAGCATTTCTTTGCCCTATGCGAGCTTTATAATCCAGATTCCAACACTTTTCTGACCAGGCACGGAGAGTTGGGCTTGGCTCTTCATGAGATGCATAAGATTTCTGGTTTGCCCATGGGTCAGATGTTATACCAGGAGTATTTTCCTTCCAACCATGAACTGAGTCAACTGAAGGATCGCATGCCCGACCGCTACGAGACCTTATGGGACCTCACCTGTCACTATCACATTGCTTTGGCGCAGTCTAAGCCCCTAGCGAAGAGGACCAAAGCAAATGTGAGCCTGAAGCAGTTCGCATCATATTTGTTCAGGAATCTGGAGAGCCATTCTGGCCAATCTATTTGTGAACCGGTACCGCTGACTCCTTCAGAGGTTAATGAGCTGCTGAATAAGACTAACGCCCAATCCTATACCATTAGCAGTTCCGAGAGCGGCTTTCCTGCAGGGACTAAATTCAGATCGTTCTTATATCATGCGACCGCACCGATTCGTCCGATGACTCTCCTTGCCGGTTATCTCGCCATCTGGTTGAAGAAATGTGTGGTCCCGTATCAGTCTGGTGACGCTCTGCCACTGGAAGTGCTCTATCCTGCAGTTCAGCTTGCCTACAAGAAGGAACTTTCGCTTCTTCCGGTGATGGTTGCTAACATTCATCGAGGGCTTCGGCAGATTTCTGGTGCTTTTACACGGAGAGATGATGATAAACCGACTCAGATTCCTACCATTAAGGTAGAGCTCCCGTATATTTATTTGATGGCTTGGTTCGTTCTTCATCGTTCCGACGTGATGTCAATACCGAATGCCATAGATCAGTCTGTCCCCTTTCTACAGTTGCTTGAGAATGGTGAATGGGAGGGCCGAGGATTCCCCGATATCAGGCGTCAGCTACAAGTCCACAAGTGCTGGGCATTCTCCACTTGCTTTCCCCAGTTCTCCAGCCGGTACGGCGCGTGTTTGATTGATGAGGAGAAGCCGAGGGAGTATAGGACTTATCTGGATATGGGCTGCTTTAATTGGCTAGTGAACATTAGGCCGGGT